TGCTAAGCGCAAGAGAAACGAACGATCGGGATGCACCCGAGTCGAACAATACCTGAACTGGGATGCCGTTCACATGGAACGATCCTAATGCATATATATACACATGGAGCACATATCAATATCATAACATCATAAAACAAAAGATAGAAGGAAAGAATCATACCCGTCACCACATCGGGCGCGGCGCGTGCCTCCTCGGTAGTCAGCTGGAATGCTCGGCTCCTCATCACCGGAGCCTCTGCCTTGCCCTATCGGCCATCCGTGATCCGCAGGGTCGCTGGAGCTGGCGCCTTCACCGGCGCTGAAACTGACAACAGGGGACAATTGGCCTTCTTGTGGCCCCTCTGGTTGTAGTGGAAACACAGCAACTCCGATGTCTGAATAACTGCCGCAGGAGCAGTGCAATCCCTGCTGATGTGCCCAAACTTGCCGCACTTGTAGCAGCCCAAGGATCCCATCCTGCACGCCCCCTCGTGTGCCTTGCCGCATTTCCGGCAGCGTCCCCGTCCCTGTTGGCCTTTCGGCCCCATATCTGATCCCTTGGGCTTCTTTCCCGAAGCCCCTCCTGTCTGTCCCTCCTCTAATTTCCATTTCCGGATGTGCTCCAAATCTATCTCCCTCTCCCTTGACCTGGCAATCATAGAGTCTAAGGTAGGGCAAGCCGAAAAGCTAACATGCTCCCGGATGTCAGCTCGAAGCATATCGTGATAACGAGTCCTCCTCATATCCTCGTCACCAGCATACTGGGGCACTAACAAAGCCCTCTCCCAGAACTTGGCGGTGATTTCCGCCACAGTCTCTGTCGTCTGTCTCATATCCAGAAACTCCCTGGGCAGCTGCTGAAGCTCGATAGCCGGTGCAAACTCCGCCCTGAACCTGGTCACAAAGTCCGACTAGGTCATAGTCTCGATAGCTGAGGCTCCCAACGAGTCACCCACTGACTCCCACCAATCCCGGGCTCGGTCCCGTAAACACCCCGCTGCATATCGCACCTTCGACCCCTCGGGGCAGAAGCTAGTCAACTGTGCAGACTCGATGTCTGCAATCCATCGCCTGGCAGCAATGGGGTCCTTTACCCCATGGAAATCCGGAGCACCACTGCCCCTGAAGTCCTTGAAGGACAGTGTGCGTGACCCCGACTGGCCAGATGCCAAATCGCTCCTGAATGCCCGCAGGCGATCCTCCATCAACTCCATGATCCTTCCTTGATCGACCCGAAGATAATGGGAGTCGACTCAAGGATACCCCTGGTGATCTCTGACGCGATGAACTCACGTAGCCCCTCATCTACCGGCTCGGAACCCGATCCCGAACCCGATCCCTCTCCGCCATCCACCGGCCTCGATCGAAGTACCACCATTCTGCAATACATCACAACAATCATTAGATATACTGATGCTCCTGAGGGATCATAGCTACTTACAAGTTCCCTGGTCTTGTCTTGGCCTTCCTTGGTTCGGGTACGGATCCTCTGCTTTCAGTAGTACGGGCCCATACTACCTTCCACATCTATCCGTACCTTTTTCAAGGACTGCCTTGACTCCACCAGATCCCTTACACTAAGGCTGGTTATTACTATACTCATCCCAGGCTCGCCCTATGGAAATCTCCGGCTCCACTCGATTCAATCCTCAGCTGCTGCAGGCCTCCTTGTAATGCCAATTAGCCATCACCCGAACACCATCACATGTGACGAGACTCAGATAATCCTTCGAGTACCCGACTCGTCCCTACAACGGTTGGACTCAAACAAGAGCTGCGCAGTAGGATCAAATCCGGTACTCTAAGATTATTCAACTCTGATCACATGTGGTGTGACGTATTCGCCTAATGGCTAATTCCCATTACTCGGAGTCCCACGTAGCACGAAGCAAGCAGCATTCGGACAAGGGAAACGACTTCAAACAATTCCGCTCTCATAGAGAGGAACTGAACTAGCACACCGTGTTAGCTTATACTACCAGACATACCCTAACAGGATACCCTACCGCTGTCTACACTACACAAGCATGCAATTCACATATAGGTGGAACACGTAAGACAGGCACATAAGGCATCATTCCTAGATCCTTAGTCCTATTCTAGCATGCTGTTCTACAAAAGCTGATAAACATAACATAAACTGGTATGGGTACTTTGGGGAATACTTACTTGAGCTCGGCCGGTCGCGCACATCACACACACTTTCGTTCTTTCTTAAACTCTTTTCTCCTTGTTAGAAAACATTTTCTTTTAAAAATCTTTTAATCCCTCGATTTGAGTTCAGACACCCCTGAAGGTGAGTCCGAATCCCTCAAACCAGGGCTCTGATACCAACTTGTACCGACCCAAATTTTACGTCCGAAAATTTCGTTTTAAAACATTACTTTAGAAAACATTAATAAATAAAACATTGTTTGATCAAACCACAACACCACGCAAATCATGTTTAAAAGCCAAACCATTCAACCCATCAAAATATCAGAGTACAAATCCTAGTGAATCTCGTAAATGCGGAACCCAGAGTGTGTGCATGATGTGCCGCTACCGCGCCAGCTCCTTCCCCTTCGGTGAAGAGGTACCTGAACACAAAACTGAAAAACGTAAGCACAAAGCTTAGTGAGTTCCCCCACTGTACCACATACCACATAATCACATAACATACATAAATTTGTCAGGCATATCTGGGTGCCCGACCTACCCCTTCGGTCCTTTCGACTGGATACTGCCTAGCATATCTGGGTGCTGGCATCCCCTTCAGTCCTTTCGACCGGATACTGCCTAGCATATCTGGGTGCTGGCCTCCCTTCGGTCCTTTCGACCGGATACTGCCTAGCATATCTGGGTGCTGGCCTCCCCTTCGGTCCTTTCGACCGGATACTGCCTAGCATATCTGGGCGCTGGTCTCCCCTTCGGTCCTTTCGACTGGATACTGGGGACTATTTCACCCCTACTACTACCACATAACACATATATCACATAGTCTAGCAACCCTAGATGAATATCACAAAGACAATCATCTAATCACACATCTCCTACTGGTGGGCCGACATTGTGGCCTTAGACCCACCGCTACTGGAAGGCAACTCACCTCAAAGTAGCTGCTGAACTGATCGGGAACTGACTGACCGCTGCTGCTGCCCCGGAACTCCTCCGACTGCAATTCCCACAACATACTCAATCACACACTGCTAACTGTCCTTTGGGTAAAATAACCATTTTACCCCTGGTCTAGCCCTAAGTCAAAGTCAGAGTCAACTTTCAGTTGACCCGACTCGCCGAGTTAGCTCACCAACTCGCCGAGTTCCTATCCAGACGATTGTCCTGAGTCCCTGATTCTACTCGTCGAGTTAGGCTAAGACTCGACGAGTTCTTCTTCTAAACTGACATTGAAGTTCTTCGTCCTACTCGCCGAGTTGTATGAACAACTCGTCGAGTTCATCTTCATCCGATGAACACTCATGCTTAGACTCGCCGAGTTGTATGAACAACTCGCCGAGTCTGTTCTTGATCTATGAAGATTGCCTTGGACTCGCCGAGTCAGGGCATTGACTCGCCGAGTCCTAACATGGGTGAGTTCAGCTTCCAACTCACCGAGTCACCCCCTGTGACTCACGGCTCAAACTCGATACATCATAAAGGGACCAATTCGGTGACTCGCGAGCAGACTCGCCGAGTCACATAAACGACTCGCCGAGTCGTCGCCATGCATCCATCAAATACACCGATTTGCTCGATTCCAGTCCATGCCATTCACAGATCTGGGCTTCTAGGACACGAATCACACGTAAAGTTTCCAACTTTACGTGTAGATATTCACCAATATGGATTTTAGGGCTCAAAGTGCACCAAAAGAGGTAGATCTAGGGCTTTCATGCAATATGACCCCATAAAGGCATTAGATCCAAGCTCCAGGGACTAAATCATGCCTAGATCTAAAGGCTAACAACTTATTACAACCCACAATGCACAAACAAGCTTGGGGAAAAGCTCAAGAAGGACTTCCATGAAGCTAAAAGAGACTACAAGCTTGAAAACAGAGGGGAAACGAGCTATACCTCAAGGAAAACGTTGAGATGACACAAAGATGCCTAGCCTCCTTCTCCTCTTCTTGATCTACTCTTCTTTCTCCTCAAAATCTTCAAGAACACACCAAAACACTTCAATCTCTCAAGGAAATAAGGGTATAAACGATGTTGGGAGCTCTGAGGGTGAATGGGGACGAGTTTGGGGCGGAAATGAGGGTTTAAATAGGGTGCAAACCCTTGAAATTTAGGGTTTCATCCAGCAGCGGTGACTCGTCGAGTCGCCAACTTAAACGTGTCCTGAGTCTCGTCCCTACTCGGCGAGTCGGACCTATGACTTGCCGAGTCCAAGGCTAAAATGGGAAAAATACTCAAATAAGATTTACATACCGGGAACCAGGTGCTACACATAGCCTCATAATTCCTTTAAATAGGGTGTAAAGCCCATAAATTATGGTTTCATTAAAATTAGATGTCACGTTGTGGCCCTTATGGCCATGCCATGGCGGGTCATTTTAATCACGCAATCAAGAAAACATTTGCCACGCCGTGGTGATGCCTCACCACACTATGGCCACCCAGAACAGAGACTTATATTGAGGATGGACTAGATCAAACCTAAAATGGGTGTCACTTAGATAGATAGATAGATAGATAGATATAGATCTTTTTTGGGGTTAATAAGTCATATGTACATTATGTAAAACAACGTTCTTTTAATTTCTTTAATAATTACTCTACAATGTGTATATGTTGATGTTAACTCCAACAAATTTAATGGAGAAAAACGTGATATGTAACGTAAACCATATCCCCCAAGACAATATTATACAAAATTTGCTTATGAAAGATGTAAATGAAAGATGTTGTCGACAAACAAAACGAATATAAGTACGAACTAGGCTCAAATTGAAATCTTCAAGTAGTTGTTACCTTTTCGTTATTACCAATGGATCTTGAGTATGAATTTTCCTCATAAATAAATAAAACATACTTCTGCATTAAAAAATGTCTCCTTCATCATTGCTATACATAAGCATATCTCCTTACTCAATTAAATGGGACAATGTTGTTTTCTACAAGTTCTAGTTCAAGTTTCAAGAAAACTGGAAAGTATCTGCGACAAAGTAAACCATAACCAAAGATAACGGATAGAGAGAGAACGCAATGATTAATATCCAGTTCGGAAACTTTGATTTGAAAGATGCTAGAAGTCCCATTATGATGCACACACTTGCAACAACTAGAATCTCAGCAGAGAAATGCCATGTCAATCCACGACAATATATGACCGATACCAGAACAGAAAAACCAAGGATATTGTTCATGAAGACTTTGTGGTATATCTGCACAAGTTCAATTGAGCATGTCAATAACGAGTTACATGTAAGTATTCTGTAAGTATTGATGCTGTAAACAAACATATAATAAAGGCAGGGTATTAAGGATATATCTCATATATACCTTTTGATAATGATATATTTGGTAGTTCATAATTCAGGATAGTCATTAATTGTTGTTATCTTTTCCCTATTTTCTATATTCATATATCACATATACATAACAACATCTATATGGCGAGTTCAATGAGAAAGTTGCATGAGGTTGCAAATATAGTTTTCATTTCATGAATGAAACTCTATCATTATGAGATGCCACTATTTGGTGTTCAATGCACATTGAACTCTTTGATGGGAAAATGAAAGTTTCATAATTCTTAAATATATATTATATATTAGCTTTTGTAATGTTCTATTGAACTTTATAGAGTTCAATACACTGTAGGAAAAAAATGATAGAGTTGTATAACCCATTGGAGTTCAATGCATTATAATTGCCCTAATAAGACATCCTCCAAAATATATGGTGATTCTATGAAACTATAGATAAGGACAAACCTCAGAGAAGGTTAAAGAGGTTATTTGATGTTTCTTCTGCATTGCAGCTCTAATGGGAGCAATGGCTGTTCTAGCATTTGTAGCCAATGGTACCAAGATGAATGACACATAGAAAGGCTCTATTTTTACAGATTCTGAAAACCGTCGAATGCTCTCGACCAAAGGCTCAGCCAAGACTGTTAGCATAATGATTCCGACTATCAGTATCGCCATTCCCTTGTACTTTTCCTCTGTTTTCGCCTTTGCCTCATTCTGATGGTACCTGTCCGTTTCCTACACAACATACTCAATTGCATTATCCTCCAATACCATAGAACAAGGTAGTGTTCTTGAATACTTATCATGACGTTTCTTACTTGGTTGTTATTCTGTGATGGATTTTCTTTGTTGCAAAAAGTATCGAGCCACCCCTTAATCTCGGATTTGAATTTTTGGTGATTAATGTCTCCATTTCCATCAATGTCTAAACCTCTCATTATGATCTCTATTATCTCTTCGTCCATCGGAATCCCATTGTTCACTTCCATGATATAGTTTTTGAGCTCAAGTCGTCTAATAGATTTATCACCATTGGCATCAATGCGCTTAAAGAATCTAACATTTTAACACTAAATCAGACACTCCGGCATCACGCCATTATCAAGTATGCATACTAACATAGCCCAGCCATACCTATCTATGGAAGATTCATCTCGAGCTCCATCTTGTATATGCAATTCCTCTCCTAGACCGTATATTAGTTGTATCATTTTGATTTTATCTTCAAGCAATAGTTCAGCAACCTGAAAAATATAATAAAAAACAATCAATCACTCAATGATAGCTCAATAGCTCAAACTGATGCATGTATATCATGTGATGCTCACTTGATTGTATTCTGTCCCTAATTGATCCATTGAGTACGGATCATCCATTAACTGTCTCGTCTCATCAAGCCAATTATGGAACAAATCATAGAAATTTTCACTGGTCATTAATGTTTTGTCTTCGCTAAGCTCGGGACGTGTCAAAATTTTCTCCATTTCTTTTTGCTTTGTCATAAGATGTTTTTCCCTTTCAAGCATAAGCGCTTGTACTTTGTAAAATGGTACATGCATTTCAATTTTTCCTAAAACTTCTGCATACTCCAGTCTTCTTTTCCGAATCCGTGGATCAGAAGTCTGCAAAAACGGAAAATCATGAGCTAAATCTGCTAACCTACGTATCTTCTTGCAATATTCTATTAAGGAACTGATGTATACCTGATAGTAGAAGTAAGAGAGTAAGCATATAACCGAAACCGAAAGTGACACAAGAAGGACAATCTTGTCTTCTTCATCAGAATACGATAACCCAAACACACTAGGTAACAGAATGACTACAAATGGTATGAGCGAAAAGAATATAACTTTGGCATGATATTTAGTTTCTGCATCGGTAACGACACCAAAACCTATAGTAGTGTACACACATTAAGCTCGCAAGACAAGCCATCAATTTTCAAACGGTCATAAATTGTTACATAATTATCAAAACTGTTAAAAGATACAAAGAATGCAAACCTGTTAATAGTTTTATCCCTTTATTTTTTACTTTCAGCAAAATCAACTTAAACTTTAACATCAGTTTCGGCATGTGTATAACGACCAGAACCTGTAAATACATACAGTTCACCAAGTAATCAGCATTTTTAACAATCTTATATGAGTAATGGAGAATAGAAAAGTACAGCCTTTATAATTGTTAATAGAAAGTTAAGAATGCAAACCGGTTAATAGTTGTGTTCCTTGATCTTTTAGTTCAGGAATAGGTTTTACATAGAATTCTATTCTAGCACAAATGAAGCATACCCCCCATAGAAGTGTGAGAAGCAATATTGACGATCCTGCTAGCAATCCAACACCCGTTACAACGTATTCTTGAGCTTTTTCTTTACTACTTGTCAGTCCTGCTACTGCAATCGGACAATCAAGAGTAGAAAAGTAAGAAAGAAATTCATCTACGATTGAAGTTAAGCAAAAGCATTCAATTCCCCACAACCAGTGGCGGATCCAGACGGAAGTTAACCGGGGTCCATTATATAAAAAAAATTCAATGCTTTGAAATTTTAGTATATTTTTAGTTTTTTTAGACAAAAATTTGTCAAAGAGGGACTTTGCTTGTAAGAGTTAGGGGTGAGCAAAAACCGAACCGCAAACTAAAAAAACCGAAAAAACCGCATAAACCGAAACCGAAATGAAAACCGATGATGCGGTTTTTAGTTTTGCAAAAACCGAAAATACTCGGTGCGGTGCGGTTTCTAGTCTCGCAAAAACCGCAAAAAACCGAACCGCACCATATATATATATATATATATATATATATATATATATATATATATATATATATATATAATGTTGATATTTATAAGAACCAAGAACTTATCACAATTAAAATTTCTATAAATGTAAATATCTTCTTATCTATCGGAGGATGACTTTATATTTTTAAGCATACATTTAGTGGTATTTACAATAATAAATAATGTTTATGACATTTTTTTTAATATTTAAATATGAATAGTACTAGTGATATAGTATCATTTTTAAAAATACATTAATTGATATTATTCTATGTACTTGTGAAACAAATATTATATTAAATTCGTATTATATTGAAGTCTTAGAAACATATTGAATGAGTGGTTATGTAATTTGATTTCGAACCAAGATATGGTTGTATCGGTTTATATCCAATAAAAGATTAGCACTTCTCATCTGAGTCAAAGTAACTTGCTAAGTTACTTGAGTTTTAGTAAAAAGACAAAACGAAAAAAATAATAATAATAATAAAAACCACAAAAAAAAACCGAACTACAAAAAACCGTAAAAATTGAACCGCATAAAACCGAACGGTGCGGTTTCTGAATTTCAAAAAATTGAAGTTGCGGTTTTCGGTTCGGTTTTGACCAAAAACCGCACCGGACCGCACCATGCTCACCCCTAGTAAGAGTGAGTGTCATGAAGGTGGTTTCTTAGTAAAAGAAATTTTTTAAGGGTATATTTGGTAATAATATGTTTGTAATCATCTTCCAAGTGGGGTGCTTGGACCCCTCTTGTTACTACTGCCCACAACTCATTTTCAATCTAGAAAGACACATTAAAAATAGAGCATGTTGATATGGTATGGAAAAGATAAAAATGAAAATTACCAAGAAGTATCAAAGATTCTGGGAGGGAATCAAGAAGCTGAGAAAACATTGCAACATAAAAGTTCTTGCCAAGGACACGAAAAATTCCCCCATCACCAGCCGCATATGATTCTCCATGATATAATAGGTACTCGTATATCACAATGAGAAAGATATGGCTCGGGACATTGCTTGAACATGGCAAAAACCCATACATTAGCTCACAATGCTCTTCAGAAGAATCCTGTCCTTTGAGATGCAGAAATGACTCTGAATCGTGTTCTTGAGCAGCACCATCAGACAACAACTCATAATTCAAACGACGACCAGCTGCCACCTTCCCAGCTAATACGAAAAGAATAAAAACTAAATAAGATGTGATTCTTGCAAATACTTTTCCCATTTCGAAAATGATGATGGAATTAAGTTATATTGTATAAGAGGATTCTGTAATATATATAGCAAGGTGGAGCAAATCCATCATCCTTTACCAATCTTTTTGGTCTTTTTAGTCTTTTAATAAAAGAAGTATACTTGTTCGTCTTTCTTTAATCCTATTACTATACAAAAGTCATCCTTGCATATTAATTGCTCAACTTATATTTCGTAACACGTTCCCTTGATTATTATAATATAAAAGATGACAATTGATGCTGAAAATAAAATAAGAAATACTTCAAACAATAAAATAGGATATAGTACTTCATACTAGTATAGCAAGTTTTTAAAAAAGGTAAACTGTGGCCACCGAAATCATATAAAGGTAAATCGTGAAGTGCTAATACTATTTTCGCACAAAGACTTGAATCAATTACCTCATAGGTGACATTTTGCACCTTCTATCTCTTGTCATGTGTTCAACTAGTTTCTTATATATGTTATGAGAGAAGACTACCATCAACAAAGTAACACACACACACACATATATATATATATATACATATATATATATATATATATATATATATATATATATATATATATAAGGTATAAGCCACATCTATTACATGAGTTTATTTAAAAATATAAATATATAAAATTCTAAACATTTGAGACGTTTGAATTTATAAAAAAAATAAGAAAAACTATTGAATTATTAAAATTAAAGTGTTTTTTTTCTCTTTTAAATTTAAACAAGTATTTTAGATAAATAAACAAAATAAACTAATGATGCTTTAATTTAGTAATTTTGAATTAGAAAGAACGTTTGTTAATAAACTTGATATATATTTATTATTATATTTAAATACTTTATGAAAATAAATAAAATGAAAAACTCATAAAATGATATGTGGAATAAAAATTAATTTAAAATAACTACAAAACGATATGTGATATAATCAATGAGCATTTGACATGTGACAAAAAGATATATATATATATATATATATATATATATATATATATAATTCTAAACATTTGAGACGTTTGAATTTATAAGAAAAATAAGAAAAACTATTGAATTATTAAAATTAAAGTGTTTTTTTCTCTTTTAAATTTAAACAAGTATTTTAGATAAATAAACAAAATAAACTAATAATGCTTTAATTTAGTAATTTTGAATTATAAAGAACGTTTGTTAATAAACTTGATATATATTTATTATTATATTTAAATACTTTATGAAAATAAATAAAATGAAAAACTCATAAAATGACATGTGGAATAAAAATTAATTTAAAATAACTACAAAACGATATGTGATAAAATGAATAAGCATCTGACATGTGACAAATATATATATATATATATATATATATATATATATATATATATATATATATATATATATATATATATATATATATATATATCCTTCCTAATAAATAAAGAACTTTTTACCACATGTCCTCTTCTTCTTCATTTGGACACATGATATTTTCTAAAAATTTTGAATTTTGTATTTTCCACTTGTCATTTTATTGTATTTTTCATTTTATTAAATTAAAATTGCACATTTAATATGTATGGTAATATATATGTAAGGTATTTATTAGAAACAGTTTATATATGTAATGTATTCAATACATTAGAGCCTCTTTAATTTTAATAATTCAAAAAATTTCACATTTTTCTTATAAATCCAAACTTTTCAAATTGTTAAAATTTAATATATATATTTTTTTAAATAAAACCATGTAATACAGGGGTCTTACACCTAGTAACCTAATAAATGAAAATGATTTCTACCACGTGTCATGTTCTCCATACATTTGTCACATGTAATTTTGTTAGATGTTATGGATTTCTTATTTTCCACATGTTATTTTTTTTTATTATTTTTTTTACTTTTCTTAAATTAAAAATTTTGGAATTGAATACATAGTTTATGTATGTAAGATATTTAATTATATTAAACTCTCAGAATAATTGCTATACAAACCTTAATTTCCTTCCTTTTTAATTCCCTAATAATATGCATATTTTAGTCAATTTCATAACTAAATTCTATTAAAAATTTCAAAATTATATAATATTAAAGGAAATGAATTCGATACAAATTTCAATAATTTTGGTACTATAAAAAATACTTATGCTTACGATTTTTTATATTAAATCTTTATTTTTTTTTAAACCACTAGTACAAAAATAACCTACAGTGACACTTTTTGAAAAACGGTTTGTCACACTTTTCATTAAAAACTTCACTAAAAAAATTTAGAGACTATTTTTTGGGTACATTTAAATTAGTTTGTGTGTCAATTGTATAGATAATCAAAATTTTAACCACACTTAATTATACCAAATATTACAATTATTAGCCAGACTCAAAGACTACATCTATATTTCACTATCAGTCACATTTATAGATTAACATTACGATACTTTTTATATAAGAGCCAATACATAGATATCTGGTGACATGAGACAATTGTATATGTTTCTGAATCATGATGCCATCATGACACATGAAATTTAATGTAACTAATATGGGATACATATGGTAATATTAAATATTTTTGTGTCCATAGGGTGGCGTTTAGCAGTGAATAAGTAAATGCATGAAAAGAAGTTAATTTTAGTGGTTTATGGTTATTTTCCTTTTATTATGTGTGTCAAAATATGATGAATTGGCTTTGAAAAAAACAAATATTATGAGTGTATGTTGCATTCAGTTATGTTTACAATTATTATGTGTGTCTATAAGTGAATCTGGTTTGAAGAGATATAATCTCCGATCAATATAATTATAGTATGGTCATTGCATGTGTGACTATAATTAGTAATGGTCATTCTTATTGTACTAGATTGTGTATAAAATAAATGGTTAAAGTTACATCTAAAGGGTTCCTTTAAATCGACCAAAATACCCTCTAGAAGGGGACATAAATTGTTACTATGATCTATACTAATTTTTGCATCCAGAACCCCCAAAAATGTAAAAGACCATATTGCCCTTTTATAGTAAAATAGACCCAGTTTTCTTATTATATTCCATTTTAGAGCTGAAAATCCAAACCAAAACAGCTCCCCATAAAGAATACCAACAATAGCATTCAACATTAAAATGCCCCTTTTCGACTTCTAATCACACAATTTAAAAAACAACGAAAATTTGAATGACTAAGTAGATAAATTGTATTAAATATGAATTGGTTGCATTGTGCTGGAAAAAGAACAATTACAAGGATAGAAACATATACTGAAATCTTATAATCTCTAAATATTATTAAAAGATAACCTTAAAATCTAAATTAAAGAAATACGGACCCTTGATTTTATTTCACTCCTATATCTCCACCATTGGATCAGTTTTGATGACAACATCTTCGAATATACAAGCGCCTCAAATTTCACTTACCCTTTTACGTTTCATACCTAATTTCATTCCTCACTTTTCTCTGTACACATCAGCCATCGTCAAAGGCTCTCAAAGCACATCTCCTATGTTTCTCCTTTTTTCTATTGAGTCTCTGACAACCATTTGTTACCACCGCCATCAGTATGTTGTCAATACAACCTACAAGAAGGTAAGCGATCATCCTTTCTTATCTCTATTTTTGGTTTTCGATCATAGATACACATCGTGGTTTTGAATATTTTGGGTGTTTTTTTGTTAGTTGAACAGATGGCAAGAGCATATATCGACTTCACCATGATAAATTAACATCATTCTAAATGAAACAATGTAAACCCTAAAAGATCAAGGAAAAGTGTAAAAAGTAAAAACCATAAATATCTGAATTCTTTCATTCAGGGGGGATGCATAGAATAAAAGAAGGTGGGACTTGAATTCTCTCTTTTATCGCTTCAAACATTTTGTCAACATGAACATGAGCAGGACTACGCTTGAATTGAGGATTCTCATCGAGTACACCATGTGGTGGATCAAGTTCCTATAAATATCATCATCACCCGTAATTTTTTATTATTATTTATTTTGATAATTTTTTACTTCTGGGTATATTACAAATATATGGATTAATTATGTGATAGAACTCACGATTTCTTTTTCTTCAGCATATATTAACCAACCATTTCAATGTGAAACTAAGCAAAAAAGATCCCAATTCAAGCCATTGTTAATGGGCTTGAAGGTCATGATTCTGAGCAATTCCATGAATTTGTTAGGGTTTTAGATGTTCTTCTTAGACAACACGCTGCAAAACAGTAAGTCATATACATATGAAAAAAAGAAATTCTATTTATGATACATACATTAACATTAATCATGGATTGTTTTTTGGTTATAAAGGTTATCTTCTGGTTAGACAGTGTTACTTCCAAAATGACTCACGAAACTTTATAGGAATTGGGGGTGGTGTTGTGGGGTGTAGGGTTTTTCATTCGAGTTTTCGTGCCACTCAATCTGGTTTGATTTTGAACATGGGTAAATTAAAAAAGACTAAAGAATTTCATTTTTTTTTGTTTAATTTTAATAATTATAATGCTACGACTGATTATCAACATACTGATACTTTTATAGATGTATCGACTACAATGATAGTAAATGTAGGGAAAGTTGTGGACTTTCTTTGTGAGAACTAAAATATAACATTAGGGAGATTGATTGGGTGAAGGTTACAAGTTTGATTTGTTCTTTATATGTATTAATAGCTTTTATTGATTCATATATTCTCTATTCTTCATTCTTTTTTGGTGATTAGGCAAAAAGAATGCTCAAGAACTTGCGTGTCAAGACCTTCCCGTCTAATTGTGAGTACAAGATTATTGGTTTAATCGATAAAACATGCAGAGAACAAATGTAGGTTCTATTTGTTCATTTTATATAATGTTTTCCTTTTTATGAAATCTAAAAGATTAATTTCGTAGGTTTTCAATGAAACAGAAGAATCAAAGAGATGGAAATAGCCCAACCGAGACAATTGACATAATAGTGTTACAATACTATGTTGATCATCACGAAAGACGCCTTGAATACTCTGTTGATTATCAACGTCTTAATGTTGGAAAACCTAAGCGACCAGTTTATATCCCACTTGAGGTAATAATATATAAATCTTTTTGGATTTTGTTAACAAAATATTAATCATTCAATGGATCAAATCTAATGTATATCCTTTTTTATAGTTTTGTGATTTGATTTCCCTACAACGATACATGCCAAGGCTTTGTCTAATCTACAAAGAGCTTCACTTGTTGAGAAGTCAAGACAAAAGCCTCGTGATCGAATGCAAGCATCAACTAGTGTAAGATTCTATATCTTATTATTAATAATTATGAAATTAGAAAATGTTAAATGGTAATAAAAAAAACATATTGAATTTTCCTTTTCAGGCACCGAATCAAAGTAACTAGGGTGCTGATCCTCTTATTAATGCCACAGGAATTACAATTAGTACCACTTTCACACAAGTTGAGGGTCGAGTTTTGGAACCTCTAAAGGTACTTTTTTTAATTTATATTATTTTGTGTACGATAGTTTTCTCACTCGCCTGTGTTTGGTTTGGACTTTTTCACGGTTGAAATTCGGGAGAGGTGGAGAAATGGTGCCATGTGGCGGTCGATGGAACTTCAACAACAAGGTCAATATTCTTCATTTTGACAATTTCTTCATTTTGTAAATGATGTTGAATTACAAGCTTTTACCTTTGTTAATCTCTCATTCAGTTTCAAACATAATTACTCCTCTTTTTCAGTTTCAGACCATAGATTTCAGTTATTGCATTGTTAAATGACAAAAATACCCCTTTGATTTGTTATGGATCATAAAATGGTATTACTAATAGGGAAATTCCTTTTTTTATGGTTTATTGAATCTATATGAATTATGTTTATGTATTCCTCTTTAACATATAGACTGAGCTGAATGAAGATACTCAAGATACAAAGTAACTTACTAAGGCAATCCGCAATTTCAAGCCCTTAGAAGATAAAATATCACATGTGACATTTAAGGTCATAACACGGAGCATTGGCATAAATAATTTGTCTCCAGATGTTGTGTTAGCTCTTGCTCCTGATGTAGAATACCAAATACGTGAAATAATGAACGAGAGATTAACTAAGGTAAAAGCTTGTAATTCAACATCATTTTCTTGAAAGAAAAAAAATGAAGGTTTTGGGGATTATTTCTATTATGAGGGTATTTATGTTTTTGCACAGACAAAAGAACTTTTAAGGATTTTTTGTTGTTGTTGGGTGGTAGATTCACAGGAAAATATCTATAAGTGAGCATCTTAGTAGTCGAGATCAAAGAGCTCGGGAAGGACATAAAGAAAGACAATATTTCTCTTGTTGATCAAATTCGTGAAGTCAAGAACAAGAAAGAAGAGATTTTGATGCATCATGGGGTACAATAAAACAATGATCAAGAATTATTCCTTGATGCATCAAGCATTTAGTTGTCAACTTTCTTTAATCTATGTAATAATTGGCTTAATGCTCCGTTTCTCATTTAGATCCAAGAGTTTTTGTGGTGGTTACAAGACCTTTATATGCACATTTGATGATAGTTCTGGAGGCAAATGATGTTATGTGATTTGAAGGTGAATAATGGTTTCAATCTGATTATTGCAATTTTGATTCATAGATAATCAATTTTTCTTCAATAAAGGGCTAATAACATAAAAAGCATTATATTTTGTCACTTTTATCCGTTTGATCTACGAGTATTCCTCACAAACTGTAATGACCCTTGCATAAGTTTATCTATAAGTATTGGAAGATGTAAATTCGTATCAGAGAAAATCGAAGAAAAACTGGAAAGATAGTCATCTCAGATTTGGATGATATTTTTGAATTAGCATGTTCGTCATTGCAACATGATGTTTTTGTAATTATATTTCATATTTATTGAAATATTATATATTTATTATTTCACCTACTTTTATTTGTCAAAAACAAATTTAAATTTTATTTGCATAAATATTAAATATTTATTGAAATATTATATATTTATTGAAATATTATATATTTATTATTTCACCTAATTTTATTTGTCAAAAAAAATTTAAAATTTTATTTGCATAAATAGACAACGTTTACATATGGTAAAAAAATAAAATCATAGACCAAGTATTCAAAATCTATTTTTTTATATTGCGTATATTCCGTCCATAATTATATACATAATTATATGCAGACTTTATTTTTTATCTAATTTAAATCCAACTAGTATTCAATTCGTTCATTCAATTATATACAAAATTTCTTTTTTATCTAATTGAAAACCTTCTAATATACATTGTTCGCATATGGTAACAGAATAAAATTATGTAGACTTTATTTTTTACCTAAAATCATGGAATCTATTTTTGTAATTATATTTCATATTTATTGAAATATTATATATTTATTATATTTTTTTCTTATTCTACAATATTTTCAAATTTACAGTTTTTTATATGGTAATTATTATCTTAAATTAAGTATGATTTTATCTATTTTTGTAATTATATTTGACATGTTATATTGATATTATTTTTGATATCAAATCGTACATTAGACATATTTTAAATATGGAAATGATATTAGATTCTAAAATCTATATGTCATATCACCATTAACCAAATTTATATTTTCCTTATAAATATAGTCTCTACGATTTTTCATTCCAAATCAAATTTCTCTCTAACTAACTATCTCCTTTCATTGCAGATAATAGTATTCCATGCCAACTAACAATGCAGATCAGATCGTGTTTGATAAGGTTGTTGAAATCGATGCATCCAAAGAGTCTTGGAACATACGTGTTAAAGTCATATTGGTTTGGAAGCGGACCTATAAAAACAATCCTAATATGGTCGTGAGTCTGGACATGATTTTAATTGACCAACAGGTATTGTTTCTACAAACTTTATTTTTTAGATTGTCAAATTCTTATGTATGTCTGTTGATTTTAGTTCCCGATCCCTTCTCTCAATATTATTTTTATATAGCTTTCTTAATTTTAATAATCAATTAAGTATGTTGATTTCTTCTTATTATTAATTGTGTAACGTTTCTACAAACTTTATCATTTAGATTGTCAAAATTTTATGTTATTACTTCAAATTTTATGCATTTTTGCATAAACAGGGTATTCTAATAGCTTTTTATATGTTGTAGAAAAATATGGGATGTTTCTACAATATTAATTTTATCTTTTTATTACTTTTATTTGTTTACACTTATCTTTCATTGTCACCTACACGCAGTAGAATACAAAGCAACAATAAAAAAAAATTATTCCTCTATTTGAATCTCTATTCGATGAAGGAGCTGTTAGGGAGATCAGTAACTTTGCTATGGCTAGCAATGAAGGCGAATACATGCTTGTTCCTCACAAACATAAAATCAATTTCTATAAAACCACATAAGTTCATGTATCCACTGATTTTGTTGATATGGTAGATCCTTATCATTTTATCTCTGTCCCATATTTGTTAGCCAGGAACTTTGACACTCGTGTTGCATTTGGTATGTTGTTATTTTGTTAGTTTAACTTATTTCTATACTTCAATATTTAATGTAATACACATTAGTATTATTATTACTAATTTATTACATTTTGTTACATAGATTTTCTTGGTGAAGTTGTGTCAACTGATCTCATGCGAGTCATTGTTGACAATGGAAGAGAAAAAAGGTTAATGAATCTGGTTGCTCAGGATTTAAGGTACACAACTCTTTTATTATTACACTTTCCAACTTTTATATTTATCTTTCATTAATAACCACCATTCATTTTTAGTGGTATGAAAATTGCAGTTGCTTTTGTGGGACAGTTTTACACTGAAGCTGAATATTTACATTTCACAACATCATAATGAAACTGCTCCGGTTATCATACTGCTATGTTTGACCAAACTCAAACTTTGGGGTGGTAAGGATTTTTTTCAACAGATTGTGATTTCAACTTCAAAGTAATTACTGACAATACTATTTTACTTTTTATTTCCAGGTTAGCCTCAAGTTGGTAATTGTTTGTTTGGATCTAGATTGCATATAAATGATGATATGTCTCACATTTTAGAGTTCAAATCAAAGTATGTTTTCTTAATAATTATGAATCCTGTAATGTTTTATGTTTTTATGCGACGACAACTGTAATTATTACATTAAATTAGTTATTTACCATACTTGAGAGATTTAGCTTACTATATCTATACTTTTTTTTAACCTCATTTTTGTGTATATGTAGTCATAATGCTTTGGATATGAATGTCGAGTCTTCTAGCCGTTCATCGCAGCTGAACTCAGATACTGTTGTGGCTAATCCGGAGGATTACTACCTCCATTTTCAAATAAAAAATATTGATGAGATTTCTGATTTGAATGAGGTTTAGTTAACATTTTCATATAAGAATTTCTGCTTTCTATTATTGTTTTGATTTTTTCTGTCTAACATTCATATGAAATAGGATTTTAATATGGTTCCTTTCAAAAAATGTATGAATCAGGAAGTTGGTTTAACCATAATTGCTACTATCATCTATTTTGATATGGATGAAGGCTGGTATTCATTTTATTGTTGTGATTGTTCTAAAAAAGTTACTAAAAATGATGTTGATGTTGATGTTGACCCTTTTCACTGTGATGGTTGTGGATTAGTCTCAGATGTATATGGAAAGTATGTAATTATTAGCTCTTCGACTATGCATGCATTTAACTTTTTTCATATATTTCATTGTGTATGTCAAGCTAAATATAAGTATTATGTTATACTTTTTAGGATTAGGATAGTAGTTCGTGTGCAAGATGAAATTGGTTCTTCTACGTTCGTATTGTTTGAACGTCGTGTAAAAGATCTTATTCATCGTGGAAACCAATGGTTGATGGAAAAAATAGCTAAGGTTTTATAGTATATCTCCATTATTTAAATAATTGACATATATGATTTTTCTTCATTAACTTTTCAACTATTTCGTTGTAATGTAAATTAGGATCAAGGATGCCAACAGATACCTAATAAGTTAAATATCCTTCAAAATAAAAAGTTTGTCTTCAAAGTTCAGATATCCATGTTCAATCTGCAAAACAACTATCGTGCTTACGTTGTGCATAAGTTGACTGATGATGAAAGGGTTCTTGTTGAGGTTTTTAAACGGTCACCAAATCATGAACACCATATTCTAAATGATAATGGTACTCCTATTAACAAGCCAAATAAGGTGGGGAACTGTCTCACATATATTTCCAAATTCAAACCCTATGCCCTCTTTTCATTATATTTTTATTTCATTTTCATGAATTTGTGCAAATATGTTATGTTTTTTTATATTTTACTTTGATCGGATTTTTATTGTTTTATGTGTTTTCTACAGGATAATATTGATTCTATGCATGATGACAATCTTGATGTTGTTGACCTTGAAGCTTCAACACCATCATCCACTATGGGGAAGTGCCCTATAAGTATTGATGCCAACATTGATTCTTTCGAGTGGTCTTCTTCAAAAACTGATGCTATTCCTGCTACCTTGAAGATCCCAAAGTTGGAAAAGTTGGACTAATATGAAGCCAACCAGCAACATTTTACATTTCATCTTCAATATGTTTAGAGACATGTTCTTTTTAATCTTTTGTGTCACACTTTTAATTGTTTGTTTATGGATCTATTGGTTGTTTTTAAAGTTTTATTAGGTTGTTATTTGGTCTCAAAACGATGATATTCGTGCTATTTTTATTGTAACACTTCAAGCTGCATGAACAAAGTCATTTCTGTTGTTCCCAGGTTTTGAAACTTATTTTATAAATATTATATTGTTCTGTTATATTATATAAATTTATATTTCTAAATTTGTTTGCATCAATGCTTTCAGTTTGAAAATCACCATTATAGTTGAAGATATTACCGATTTGGTGTTACTTACTTTATATGATTTTGATGCAAAGAAGCTTATAAAAAAATGCACAAGAGTTGGTTCATCAGTTTTATGAGGTTATACATATTAAATTCATTTACATAAAACAAATTTATTATTTTCTATATCTATTTTATAAACGTTTTTTTAGGATGGTAATAACGAAATCTATCCATCTGCTCTAAATATACTATTGGAGACAAAGATGACCTTCAAAATTCAAATTTCACATGACAATTTGAAGAACAAAACAGAAGGTTATGATATCTCAAGGATCATGTCTAACAATAAAATCATTGATGAATTGGAAAAAATATTGAAAATGGATCGAGTAAAATTCTTTACCGTCAATACTACAAACAATATACTTATTATGATTTCAATTTTGTATGTCATGAAAGATTAAATTTTAAGTTTTTCTAATATTATTATTTTATTAGTTCTTTCTTTTTTAATTATCGTTATTGACTTCTGAACTAATTATTGAAATTATTTCACGAACATCATTAAAAACATTTGCTACTATACGCTGTACAAATAAATATTATGGAAATCTAACATACAACAACCATGTTCTTCATAACTACAACCGTAGAAATAATGTCGTTTGTGGAATTATCATTCAACAAAAAAAAAACCGTGAAGAAATATAGAGTGTTAGTTTGTTCCGTCTTCTACTAGCAACAATCTTGACATTGATTGGCTACCACATACATGTACTATTTTAGCATCATCCTTGTGCGGACTCCTTGTTGAATCCTATGATCCAAATGAATATGTTTCAAAGATTTTATTTGGTATCAAACCAACGACTACATATTTCAAATGGATACCGTTTCCGACCTCTAAATACACTGCGGTAAAGTTTGCTTTGGTAGTTATCAGTTCAAACCCGTTACATTTCAAGGTCATTCGACTGTCATAAGCAAAGCCATCACAAGAGTTTATACGTAGTATATTTTATGTTATTAATTTACTTTATTATTTACTTATATGTTATTTTACTTGTAGTGATATGCTTAAGGAAAAAGTGGGCTACGATTACTACAACATAGAATTGTTTTCATCTACTACATGCCAATGGAGGGAGTTTCAAAATATTCAGTTACCATCATCTGTTTTTCCTATTTCTAATGAGGCAGTTACAAGTGGTGGTGTTGTGTACTTCTTATTATCTAATGATACCATATTGGGTTTTGATATTTATTCAGAAGAACATATACTCATATTTTCACCTTCTATTATTAATGACTTCAAATCGTATGCATCGAGACTGATCAAGTTTCACAGAAAATTAGTATATTTCTCTGTAAGTGGAAATCGTTTGTGAGCTATTTGGGTTTTCATTCACAATCGGTGGGTTAAAGTAGATGTTAGTAACTACAATGAAGGTGCACATGAATAGTGGTGTAGCACCTGATTCCCGGTACGTACTCCTTGTAATTAACATTTTTAAATTAATGCATTTTTGTCTTGGACTCGGCGAGTTGATGGACCTACTCGTCGAGTAAGAGCGGGATAAGATGCGGGGACTGAACTTTGGACTCGGTGAGTAGACCCTGTTTGGGCAAAAACCCTAATCCGGGTGTTTGCACCCTATTTAAATGCTCTAACTTGGCTTCCTTTGTCCTTAACACTTCTAGAGAGCTGAAGAGCGAAACCTTAGCCCCCATTTTGTTCTTGAGAGTGATTTTGGCTATGTGAAGAAGATTTGGAGCTTAGAAGAAGAAGAAAGAGGTTGTTGTGTGTAAGGAGGAGAGGTAGATCCGGAATCTACACTGCAAGAGGCTTCCATTCAGGTAGAAAAGCTCGTACCTTGATCACTAGTTCTTTAAATCTCCTTTTGTCCCTAAAATGGTGGTTTTCATGCCCTAAAACACCATACTCCTTGTGTTTGTGCTTAATGGTCCGAAAGGACTTCAGATCTAGAAAATATGGACGTATTAGAAGTATAAAGTTTCTATGGTTGGAGTGATTGAGGCCCCATTGAGTGTATGAACTCATAAAAAGCTTGGATTTGCCTTTTGGAGCTTGTAGGGCCATGCATGCACGTAAAGTTTGCAACTTTACGAGATAAGCATGCCCTATGATCATAGATCTATGGTTTTGAAGCGTTGCATGTCGTAGATTTGGTCTATATGGGAAATGGGTCAAGGGACTTGGTGAGTCCCAAAGTGGAACTCAGCGAGTTCTATGGTGATGGCCTTAGACTCGGCGAATTGGATGAACAACTCGGCACTCGCCGAGTTGTTCCTGGACTCGGCGAGTCGGGTCGCGAGTTGGTTAAATCGTCCCAAGTAATGAGTTAAGGGTGACTCAACGAGTGAGAAGAAGGACTAGTCGAGTAGGACCGGGTTAATAAGAGAAGGACTCGGCGAGTCTATGCCGTGACTCGGCGAGTCCAGTCAAATGGACATTGAATTTGACCAAGGAGTTGACCTTGGACCAAGGGAGGGTCAATCTTTTGACCTACGGGTATTTGTGGGTGTCTAATCTATGTTGATGATTTATAGCCGGAGGATTACCGGTTCAGCAGTCACGCGCTCAGCAAGCAAACTTTCAGCAGCTACTCCGATGTGAGTTACCTTCTAGTAGCAGTGGGTCTAAGGCCACAATGTCGGCCCGCTAGTAGGAGTTGTATGATTAGATGATTGTCTCTGCGATATTCATCTAGGTTTGCTGCTACCTGTGTTATGTTTATGTGTTTATATCATATGATGCTATGTGCTAGTGATAATAGGGGAGATAGTCCCCACGTTACCGGTCGATAGGGCCGAAGGGGCAGTGATGCCCAACCATGCTAAATAGATAATGTGATATGTGTTATGTGGTAGTGGAAGGGGGTGAAATAGTCCCCAGTATCCAGTCGAGAGGACCGAAGGGGAGACAAGCACCCATATATGCTAGTCAGTATCTGGTCGAGAGGACCGAAGGGGACACCAGCACCTAGATATGCTAGTCAGTATCCGGTTGAGAGGACCGAAGGGGTAGGTCGGACACCCAGATATGCCTGACAATATATGTATGTTATGCGGTTATTTGGTATGCGGTACGGTGGGGGAACTCACTAAGCTTCCTGCTTACGGTTTTTAATTGTTGTTTCAGGTACCTCTTCAGCCAAGGGGAAGGAGCTGGCGCGGTAGCGGCATATCACACACACGCTCTTGTTTTTCCGCACTATGAGACATTCTGGGATTTGTACTCTGATATTATTATGATTTACGTTTTGGTTTACAAACACGAGACATGTTTTATTAAATGATATGGTCGAATGATATTTTGTTACAAATGTTTTCCAAATCACCGAATTAAAAATGAAATTTTGAGCCAATATTTTGGGATGTTACAAGTGGGATTATAGAAACAATACCCTATATTTATTTAAAGGAAATATGATTGAGTATGTGGTTCCGACAGATCCTTCTCAACAAGTTTTTTCAGTCCGTTCTGATTTTGATACAGTGACTATGCCAAGTAGATATTAGTGATTATATATGTTTTAATTTGCATTCGAGCATAGTTGTTTTTTGTAATGAACTATTTAAATATTATATATTACTCTATGATTTATTAGTTTTGTTATTTATTCTTTTAATTGTTATGAGGTTAAAATAGCTATTGTAATGAATTTAACATAGCTATGGTAATGTACTTTTAATAGTCATGCTTCCTATGAAGTAATATATGTTTACAATTCTTTGTTTTTTTTATACGCTCCCCCCGTGTTTAACGCGGATCATAATCTAATTATATCTAAACATCAATCTTTTGAAGTAAGAAAAAATAATAAGGGAAATATTGTCAATTTGGGGCCGAAACACCATACAGAGTAGTTACTAGCATGCATACTGACGCAACCTTCCAAACAAACTTCCAAGCAACATTTATTATCTTTTATTGAAGTAACTATCCTATTTTGAACAATCGAGAGCGAAACAAAAAGTATTGCATGCATCTGTCAAGACCTGCATCGTAATGGTTTATCTTTACCATAAACATACTAAAAGAGTAAAAAAAAAATACATTAAAATAACCATAATGGTGTAGGAGGTTATATGTTTATGGGTTGAAATAACCTTCAAAGAAGATACTACTTACAATCCTTTCACGTCAAAACACTAGGATCAACGTTTGGCCTTTACCTTCTACAAACAAAAGTAAATATTATAATAGCACACCAGAAAACCCAAGGGTAAAATGGTCAAGATATAGGAACACACTCCCAATAGAAATCTCAACATCAAGCAACAACCAGAAGTATAATAGCTATAAAATGAAGTTTATATGAAATTTGCAATTCAAAGCACCAACAAAGTAACACACATTGAACACCATGTAGGGGTAAAATGGTCTAGGTATAGAAAAACTTTCATATCAATAACGTTGACATTGTAAAAAAAGGCGAGAAAATGTAATCTGCTCGAAGTTGTTGTAATATGTATCAATAACTTAGACATATTAAGAAACCATGTGGATGGTTCACTGATTTGCGTCTTTCAATTATCAATTTCTCAAAATTCAGACTTTCATAAATCAGAAACAAGAATTGACAGGGAAATAAAAATGCATCTTTGAAATTTTAGATTCGTCTAGTACAATATAAAATTTCTGAAATAAGAACCGTTGATGTAATCGGTGCAATGGTCAAGGGGTTGATTAGAGGGGAAGTAAAGAAATTGTGGTAATGTGGGATAATGGGGTTTAAAAGTTAAAAAAATAATAAATGAATAATAAGAATTAAGAAATCATGAATTTTCATTTAATGAGCACAAAAGGTGAAACAAATGGTAGAAATATACATCAATCTTTTTCATTATATGTAATATCATAAGAGAGAGAGAGAGAGAGAGTGTTTCAGTCTTCTTCCTCCCCAGTCTCCCTTATTTGTCATATGTAGGTTTTTGTTGAGCTTTGTCTTACTAAGTCTATCCTAGCAAGGCGGAGTCGGGGGGGGGGGGGGGGGGGGGGTGGAGCTGCTGCCGGCGAGAAGGGGTGGTGAAGCTGCAACCGAAAAATAGGGGTGGTGGAGCGGTGCCAACGATTTGAAAGGGGTTTATGGGTTTCAAATGGATTTCACGGTGTTAGGTTCTCACGTAATCGTAATATACTAAATTAGGGTTGAAGCAATACAACAGTACCATCAGTAAGTTCGTGATTGAACATGGGGCGATGGAGTAGCGGTGGTGGACAAGGGACCTAAGGGGTGGGAGAATAAGAAAGAGTTCTTGGTACCCTTTTTCTTTCAATTAGAGCTTTGATCCTTGAAAATAAAAAGTAGAGGAAAAGAAGAAACAACAGGAAATATTATGTATGGAGAGAGAACGAAAATTTCAATTTAAGGTAGACGAGGGAGAACGGTGTCGATAGTAGGGGAAAAGGGGTTCTTGTAAAAAATGGTCAAAATCGGTGGAGTTCGGTTAAAATCAGCCAAAATTGGAAAAATACGGATTCGATCAAAATCAAAAAAAACTTGGAAACTTTAACGTTTTTTTTAAGAAAAAATATATAATTGTTATTAATATTCATCTATTTTTTTTTATAGTTTTAATAAACTTGTTATATTTGTTATATATATATATATATATATATATATATATATATATATATATATATATATAGAGAGAGAGAGAGAGAGAGATAGGTTCAAATGTTTTTAACAAATATTGTGTGTCTAAATGCACCAATCAAAAATTAGCAATTAATTAATTAATTAATTAATTAATTAAGGGTAAATTAGTAATATTACATATATGTATTAATGAATATCCAAAATTAACAACTGATATCCCTTTATTTAAGGGATCCTACGCTCTCATCGGACTCCCACAATATCTCTTTCACCACCACACAATTCTCCAATCCTACAAACTAAACAATCGAAGAACCCTAACTGTATCTCCAATCGAAATAGCTCTTCCCCCTCCACAATCTTTACTTGCTAGCTTCCATTTTTGATGAATCGTTTCAATCAAATCAGGACTTCAGCGACATCAGGTGGGAACGATTTGGCAGCAACGATCGACGGAAGGAAAAGAAAGGTTGGAGGATAGATTGTTCGGTGATTAGAGGTCAAACGCAGAAGGTATCTCAGTTTATGAATACGATCCCCACCATCGCTACTCTATCAAAGGTCTTTATGCCTCCACCTTATCTTAATCTTCTTGATTTTAATCCTGGAAGGTACAATCACCATGGATGTAATTTTGAATCCGAAATGGGAAAAGGTACATTATATGATTTTTCTTGCTTTTTGCTAATCTTTACTTGCTAGCTTCCATTTTTGATGAATCATTTCAATCAAATCAGGACTTCAGCGACATCAGGTGGGAACGATTTGGCAGCAAGGATCGACGGAAGGAAAAGAAATGTTGGAGGATAGATTGTTCGGTGATTAGAGGTCAAACGCAGAATGTATCTCAGTTTTTTTTAGATGTTTGACACTGATCGGTAGAACCCAAATGAGTGTTTGGGTTTAATTCATTTGACATGAAAAAGAACACGAAAATTCAATCAAATCAGGACTTCCCAAAAGACCCAAGTGAAAATCTTATTGAGTTCGGGGTTTGTGTCTGTCTCCTTTGCAGCTACATGTTTGAATGGGTCACAGTTTCGTCCATTGATACCCTTATTAGAAGCCATGCCAAAGGAACTTGGTGCTAGCCTGCATGATATGCTTAATCTGATCACAGGTAATTTCTTGAAACAACATTCTGTCATGGCCTCCATGTGTTCGATAAAATGCCTCAATGAAAAAATAGTTAAAAATCATTAATGTTTTTACTTCACTATGTTCCTTATTCTTTTCAAAACTATACAACTCAATTTAGATTGCGTTGGATGCCATTTTTATAACAATAGGTTGATGCTAGTTCCTTATTCTGTCAGAATTTGCAGTTAAATACATTGAGCATATCGAGAAGAAACACATGGAACCCGAAGAATGTTAGTTCTTTATTCTGTCAGAATAGGTTGATTCTAGTTCCTTATGTTGTTTGTGTTGGAATAGTGTCTAAGGCTATAACTATATTCGGTGGTGCATGGTCCTTTTGGGTTGCCTTCACCATAGCAACTTGAAGGATGATTTGTTAAGAGAGAGTAAATATTATAAGGAATAATATTTAGCTATTTGATTAATATAAGTCATAAATTAATTGGTATTGATTTGGTGACTTAAAGAGATTAATTAAATAAGAGGGTATAAACTGTCAATTGTTTGATAGTTAGACTTTAGACTATAAATCCATTAGGATGGACTTTGGACGGTTTCTAAGAGCTTTAGGATAGCTCAAAATAGTCCATAAGGATATCTATGGAATGGATTTGGATAGCCTTAAGTGAAGATTATCCAATTAGGGTTTAGGGTGAAACCCTTAAGGAGTCTAAAGGTATAAATAGGCCCTTGGGGTGTGGAATTCGTGGACAACCTTTCAGAACCTAAAGCAAGGAACCTCTGGCCGAATTCCATCCCCTCTCCTCTCTCCTAAATCATCTTGCTTGCTATTGGTGTTTGTAAGCCATTAGAGGAGTGACAATTGTGACTCTAGAAGCTCCAAGACAAGAAGATCAACAAGGAACTCAAAGGTATGATTCTAGATCTGTTTTAATGTTGTTGTTTAACCTAATTAGCCATTAGAAGTCTTGGATTCAAAAGCATGTTTATTAGAAAGCCTAGATCCAAGCAATAGGGTTTTGCATGCGCACATAGGAAAGTTCTTATGGCTAAAACCCAACAGTGGTATCAGAGCCTAGATTGGTTTTCTACAAATTGTTGCTTGAATAACTGAAACAAACCTGCAAAATTCGATTTTTTGGGTTTTGAGTCACTGACTCGTCGAGTTCCATGGTGGACTCGTCGAGTAGGCCTGACTCGTCGAGTCCCCTTGTGCACTCGGCGAGTCCAAGCGTCAGGAAGGCCAGATTCGGGATTTCTTTGTGTTTATCTTATCCAAACTTTCCATAAACTAATTAGATCAATATGAATCCGATTTTTGATAAATATAAGTGTTATCTTGATCTAGTTAAAGGTAATTATCAACTAATTAAATATTTAGTTTCTTATATGATAATTAATTAATTGTTTTAATTATTTTTGGTAATTATCTTCAAAGAAATCAAAGATAAATCAAATAAAGATAATTAAGATATTAATTGTTAATTGAAATTATTTGTTATTTGATCCTCCATGTTTTTAAATGTTTAAAACCTACCCTATAGTTTTGAAATTTATATTTGTGATTAAAAGCTTTAATTTAGACAACTTAAATTTCAAACCCTAGATTTTGAAAAGTTTAAAATACAACCCTATACTTATATGATATTATTAGAATAATATATATATGTATAACTAAATGCTAGTCTTACCGCTAGTAGGCCTCATTCACGAAGCCGATCTATAAGGTGGGTATAAGGTTGCGGCCTATAAAATGGCGCTTAATGGGTGTACACTCACACCCACCGCTTGCTTGATTGGTGGAGGGTCGTTAGCCGAACGGGTAGGATAGGGCAACCTCATCCTCTCATTAAAAGTATAATAAGAAATACGAAGTAACTAAATTTTTTAAATTTCCCAATCTTAGTTACTTTAGGAAAAGTGAATTGATGCAATCCCATGAAATTACACTTTGCACCTTGCTAAGATGTTAGTGGAGCGTGTGTGGTTTACCGGCACACTAATTGGTTCTAAGCGAAGGTGGCAAGGGTGATTCATTGTTTATCATAGTTCGATGGAGCGTGTGTGGTTTACCGGCACATCGAATAGGTGATCGTAACAATGAAGGCACCATGTAAATTTGCATGGTAATTCACACCCGCTTTGTGATCCTCGGCATCCCAGTCACAAACAAGAGGGGCATATCGAGATTTAAACATGCCATTGAATAGTTCAATGAATCTCATCCGAACCTAGGAATTCTCAAAAACACTTAGGACTAAAAGTTTAAGTTTTGTGATGGAGAATTAGTGAATCGTCATTCACTTACCTTCAATTTATTTGCATGTTGGATTACGGCATCCCTTTTCTAGTATGTAAATGTTATTGTTGGATCCTAGCCCTAATTTTTCTTATTGGGTGATAATTAGGGATTCTTGTTCTAATCTATCTTTGTCCTTTCTATAGATGTCAAACGCAAACAACGCTGCTGCTAGTTCTTTCACGTTGATGAGCCTTTGCCAAAAGGTCACCTTCGATGGAACGAACTTTGGCGAATGGATAAGATACATTCGCACCATTGCTCGCTATGAGGATAAAGAGTATGTCCTCGACGAGAAGCTCGAGAAAATCAACCCCGAAATTGCTACTCCCGCTGAAATCACCGCCTTTGAAACCCATGAGCGAGATGCGACGAAAGTACATTGCATCATGATCGCCACCATGAACTCCGAGTTCCAAAAGTCCTACGAGGACATGTATCCATACGAGATGCATCAAGACTTGTTGGAGAGGTACCACCAAAACGCGAGACAAGAGCGTTACGAGATCTTCACAACATGATTTCCGCTAAGATGGGTCATGGAGAATCTCTTACCGTGCACTTGCAAAAGATGCAAAGGTATGTCGACCGCCTTCGCAAGTTAAACGTTGACTTCGGCGAAGACTTGGCGATCGACATGGTGCTTCACTCTTTGCCTCCGATGTATAATCAATTTAGGATGACCTACCACATGAACAAAGAGGAGGTCACTCTAAGTAAGCTCCAAGGTCTCTTGAGGGTTGCTGAGAGCAATTTCAAGGACAAGTCTGTTGCACCAACTCCCAATCCGTCTGCTGCTCCTGTCTTGGCTATTGGTCAAGGGAAGGGAAAGAAGAGGAAAGCTTCTTCAAATAACTATCGAAAGGTGAAAGCCCGAGATGGTTCCTCTTCTAGTGGGACCAAAGTTGATCCCTCTAAGCCCTGCTCTAACCCGAAGGAGGCAGAGTGCCACCACTGCCACAAGATAGGACATTGGAAGAGAAGCTGCCCGGATTACCTGCAAGCCATCAAGGAAGGAAAGATCAAGCCATCTTTCGCAGGTATATATGCAATAAAATCTAACGATTCTAATCATGCTATTTCTTGGGTTCTTGACACCGGTTGTGGTTATCACATTTGTTCTAATGTGCAGGGACTAAAAGAAGTAGGGATGTGGAGCAAGGAAGGATCAATCTAATCATGGGGAACAGAAGATCGTCGCCTGTGACCAAGATTGGAGTGTATTCTTTGGTGCTTAAGAATAGTTTAGTTTTAGATTTGAACAATTGTTGCTATTCGCCAGAAATGGCTAGAAACATCATTTCATTTCATGGTTTATATAGACAAGGTTTTAGATTTTCTTTTAATAATGAGAATGGTTCTATTTTGGCTTATCTAAATGGTGTCTTTTATTTTGAAGCTATACCATGTAATGGAATATATGAAACTGTTATGATTGTTGATAACTTAGGAAATGATGTTTTGAATATTGATTCTTCCACTAGTATGGATAAAGCATCCTTGTGGCATTGTCGTCTTGGACATGTCAACAAGAAACGCATAGCCCAACTCCAAAAGGATGGAGTGTTGGAGTCATTCGACCTTAGGGAAGATGACACATGCGAGTCTTGTTTACTTGGAAAGATGACTAAGTCACCCTTCACGAGTACTTGTGAAAGGGGTGAGGGACTATTAGACCTAATACATACCGATGTATGTGGACCTTTTAGATCAACCACGAAGGATGGGAACCGCTTCTATGTGACCTTTACCGATGATTATAGTAGATATGGGTATATCTATTTAATCAAGCAAAAGTCAGAAACCTTTGAAAAGTTCAAAGAGTTCAAGAATGAAGTGGAGAATCAATTGGGCAGGAAAATCAAGATGCTTCGATCCGATCGAGGAGGAGAGTACCTAAGTCTTGAATTCCACGATTATCTCAAGGAGTGTGGAATAGTTTCGCAATTGACGCCTCCTAGGACACCGCAATTGAATGGTGTGGCAGAAAGGCGTAATCGAACCTTATTGGATATGGTTCGCTCTATGATGAGTCGTGCTTCACTACCTATCTTCTTTTGGGGGTATGCCTTAGAGACTGCCGCCCATATCCTTAACCGAGTCCCTACCAAGAAGGTTGCCAAAACACCTCACGAGATGTGGACGGGGAAAGCTCCCTCGTTGGCACATATCAAGGTTTGGGGTTGCGAGGCTTTCGTAAGACGAGATACTCACGACAAGCTTGAACCTCGAAGTGAGCGATGTATTTTCATCGGCTACCCGCAAACTTCCTTTGGATATCTCTTCTATAGACCGAAAGATAATGTTATCTTTGTTGCGAGGAGAGGAGTTTTCCGAGAGCGAGAACTCATAAGCCAAGGAGACAGTGGGAGGCAAATCGAACTTGAAGAGATTCAAGAATCGATAGATGAAGGAACCTCTACCGCTGGCGTTCAACCCGAGGAGGAAACTCCGGTTGAACCGATTGACGAATCCTTACCTCTTAGACGTTCCGATAGATTTAGAGTTCAACCCCAGTTTTATGGTTTTCATATTACTACCGAAGGGGACACGTATATTAGTGATGGTACACTAGTAAATCTTGATGAACCTAATAGCTATAAGGAAGCCATGGCAGGCCCGGAGTCTGCGAAATGGAAAGAGGCGATGGATAGCGAGATCCAATCCATGTACGATAACCAAGTTTGGAATTTGGTTGATTACGTGCCCGAACGTAAGACCGTAGGGTGCAAGTGGATCTTCAAGAAGAAGACCGACGTGGATGGGAACGTACACACATACAAAGCGCGATTGGTTGCGAAGGGCTTTACTCAAACTCCCGGAGTTGACTATGATGAGACCTTCTCACCAGTTGCGAAGATTAAATCTATTAGAGTGATGCTAGCAATTGCCGCATTTCATGATTATGAGATTTGGCAAATGGATGTCAAGACCGCTTTCCTTAACGGAAAGTTGGCTGAGGATGTTTACATGGCTCA